ATAAATAGGCATGACTCCCTGCAGAAAAACGCCCTAACACACTATCATACATATGCAGCATGCAGACACACCACAAGCATAATGCAAAAGAAAGATACCTGGCTAGGGCAACTAATCCAACAAAGAACAATAGCCAAGTATTAAAAAGACTACCTAGCACCCTAAGTCCTAGCCTAGCACATCATCTAACAGATGGTGCGTTAACCTAGTATTTAAGTGAGGGGTAAGTCTAGGTATAGTATGACTTTGACGGGTTCATCATATCGGCCCTATCCTAAAGATCTAAAAGATCTAAAAGATCTAAAGGGTGTTACGAAGAATAGTGACACGAGTTAAATCTATTAGATCTCCTAAAGATCTAAAAGATCTAAAGAGTGTTACGAAGAATAGTGACACGAGTTAAATCTATTAGATCTTTAGCACAGTCATACTCGTGTCAATCTCGATGACTTAACTCGCATTGCTCACTGGGATCAACCCAGCAAGCAATGTTTGTTAAGACATCGCAACCAACACGGAGTCAATCTCCTAACGAACCTGGCTCGCTATCCATGCAAACATGTTAATGCTAATGCAAGCAAATCAAAACATATAAGTAATGACAAAGAGTATGTCATGAAGGCAGTGACTCGTAGGAATGGGCATATCGTAGTGACAGGGGCCCGAAAAGAGGATATGTCAGTAAGGCAGTGATCCGAAGGTGGGCATGTCGTGGCTGCAGTGGCCCGAAAAGATGGTATACCGGTAAGGCAGTGACCCAGAGGTAGGCATGTCGTAGCGGCAGTGGCCCGAAAAGAGGGCATACCGGTAAGGCAGTGACCCGGAGGTAGGCATGTCAGCGGCAGTGGCCCGAAAAGAGGGCATGTCGGTAAGGCAGTGACCCGAAAGAATGCAACTCAAGTAGATGATATCGATCATGCAAACAAACATGTACATGCACATACACAACATGTAAAGGAGCAAGTGGTCGGTCAATCGGAATGGAAAATCCGATCAATCCAAAGTGTTGTACCAACCGAGTCCGGATAGCCGGCTGAAACACAAATGATGTGACCGGTTCGGGATAACCGACCGAGCCACAAGTGGTGTCGACCGGTCCGGGGCGACCGATTGAGGCACAAGTGGTGCAAGTGTAAGTGCAAGTGCAAGATACAAGGTGCAAGTGCAACGTGTAAATGCAAGTACGATATATGACATACAATATGTAACATGCAAGACATGCACGTGCAAACAATGAGGTACATATGAACACATATGATAGTGAGTCACGCTCGTACTAACGACCTCACCTGGGAAACCAAAGGTTTAGACCCTTAGATATGTTGCACCACCGCCTCTTACTTTGGTGAGGAAATGTGAGGAGGTTCTCCCCGGACTACAGATCTCCGAGAGGGAAACTTTCCACGGTGTCACAAAATGGGCTAACTACAAAGTTTTTCCCATTTTGTGAACTCCTCCAGACTTTGCAAAGCAAACAAACTACAAAGCTTCTCTTGCTTTTCCAAGTTCGACCTCGCAACTTCTCCAAGTTCAAGGGGAGTGAGGGACTCCGACCCATTACGACTTGTCTTAAGGCTCACAACAAAAGGGAGACACTCGGCTCTGCGGGGGGTGTTTGGTTACGCACAGTAAGTCCTAACCTAACGGCTCGCTCTAGGAAATCGACGATCAATCACATAGGTACGTTAACGCGTCGACCCATGCCGGCACACTCACCTCGTGTGGGCGATCGAACTCACACGCCTAAACAACATCAAACCTAGGGCTAGCTATGAGTTTAGGGGATCTCACCACCATGACGGTTGCGGACGCGTTCTCTTTATTTGCTCCAAGCTCGGTGACGTCCGATCCATGCATCAGGGTACCTCACAACGAATGAAGATGGGAGCAAAGGAGGTATGCAAAATACCTAAAAATAATGAATATTGTCATACGGAAATATAACTAAAATATACCTTCAAAAATGTGTCGCTCGACAACGGCAAAGGAGGGGAACCCACGAGGATGTCGGCGGAAAAGAGCATCGGCGGAGGCTTTTCATGCGAAGTGGAGGACTTAGTTCGTCGGCGGTGTGCACCGGGAGCGAAGGAACCGCGGAGGAGAGCCCAAAATATGTCGTTTTCCTCGCTGATTTTCTCCGGCGTAAATACGACACCGGCGAAGTGTGACGTCGGTGAATCACAAGGCCGACGGGAGGAAAAAGAAAATGAAGGGAAGAAAACCCCTCTTCATTGTTTTCACTCCAAGAAGCGCCTCCAAAGCTTCCAAAATCTCTTCCCCAAATTCTTCCCTTCAAGTCTTCATGTATCTCGCCGGAGAAGAAGGAGGTGAAGGAATAAGAAGAAGATGAAGGAGGGGAAGAGAAACCCCTCATTTTCTATCTTTCAAAAGGTCTCCTCCAAAGCACCTCCAAAGCCTTCTCCAAATTTTCTAATGGCTTCCTCGTCTCTCGAGCCCTCGCCAGAGAAGAAGAAGGAGAAGAGGGAGAGGAAGGTTTTGCGCAAGGAAGAATGGAGATCAGGCAGGCGGGAAGGGAGATCCGACAACTAGAGGAGGAGCGCCGGAGACGGCGGCGCCGGGTTTCGCCGGCGAGGAGGAAAGTTCGGGCTTCTTGTGCGAAGAACGGCGAAGAGGGAGTGGTTTAGCGATCTTGAGAGAGGGAGAGAGAGAGGAGCATGAGATTTTTTTTTTTTAAAAAAAGGATAATCTTCCTTACTTTTTTTTATTGTTTTTCTTTTTTTTTCTTTTTCCCTCCAAGAAGAGCCAAAGAAGGAAATAAAAAAAAAAGCTTGTCATCAGCCTTTTGGGGAAGAGGCGTGGCTGGTAAAAAAATAATAATAATAATATTATTTTTTTTTATTATTATAATAATAATAATACTGTTATTATTATTTAGAGTTTACCATGCATCTTCTGTCGAACACGTTACCGCAGTAAAATGAGCATCCTCCCTAGGCAAAATCGGTCGAACACGTTACCGCAGTAAAGTGAGCATCCTCTCTAAGCAAAATCGACATTCTGGACGTAGTGTTGCGATCCGTTTCGTCGTTTGGGGTCGTTCAAATAATTTTTTTTAATGATTTGACGAAAATGATAATTCACACATTTTGGCCCGCCCGCGGAGCCGTAGCGAAGTGGACATCCTTCGTAGATGAAATCGACGTTTCAGACACACTCATGTGGTCCGTTTTGTCGTCCGAGGTTATATGGATAACTTTGCTGACGAACGGACCAATTTGAGCTAATTTCATGCGCGGTGCGATAACAAATTTTCATCGATCACAAGTGAACACCTTACACTTATGACATCCAAAAATTGATGTCAACAGAGCCTAAGGTACTAGACGTTCATACAGAGTTGAGGATGTGGTGCAAAAACTACCTTTTCGCAAGCATTAAGAGGAGCATCAACAGGACTAGCCTTAGTTGTCCAAGAGGGGTCAAGAGTTCGAGGAGTCGACACCAGACTCATAGCAACCCCAGACAAAAAAATTTCTAGATTTTCAAACATACATTAAACCTACTAAGTTGTCATTGCTGAAAAAGATCCAATATGTCAGATATGAGAATGTTTTGAGCTATTTTTGGAAGGCTATACTGAGTAATCTGGGCGTTAAATTTCAGTTCAGTTCAACAATTCACCCACAAATACATAGTCAGACATGAGTAGTGAACTACCGCTTCAGCAATCTCCGCTATTTTTGGAAGGCTCTACGGAGTAATCTGGGCGTTAAATTTCAGTTCAGTTCAACAATTCACCCGCGAATACATAGTCAGACATGAGTAGTGAACTACGCTTCAGCAATCTTCGTGGGTGTCTTTTGGGAAAGAGCATCCGACGATACGATCCAGACTCTTTAAAAGAAGAAGCCTCTCTTATCCAGAGAAAATAACACGGGAGTTATTCATGCCCGCAAAACTGTGGAACGGAATTCCCGCGATATGGGACTCCAGGTGTTGTGGAAGAGCCGGTTTTCTTTTATTTCAAGCATATTTCTTTCATTTTTTATTCATTTCATATTCATTTATTTCCTATTTTCTTATTTCTGGATAGGATTTTTACTTGGACTATTTTAATTTTATTAATTGATGGTTCAACAGACTTTTGCTTTGTTTGTGAGTTTTGGAGTAAGAAGTATTATATCTTTTTTTTCCTCTTACAAGTTGTGTATTTATATGTTATTTAGGAACAGGTTCCACAGGTGGTGGAACCACTTTGCCGCCCGTACCTCGTCAATTCATCGTTGAACTGTCGTTTTCAACAAGGACATCCGCTAAACAACGCCTGCCCCCTTCTAAACGTCGTCGTCCTCGCATATTTTCCTAATCTCACTATTCCACAACTGCCTCCCCGCAAAATTCGCTTCCCAAATACCTTCTAGGAGCTTTATAATGGTATCAAAATTGCAACAAAAGGCTATGAAGACTCATCATGATTCAGAAAACCATCTTGATTCTAATGGGAGCTAGCTGAGTGAAGACACGTTAGTAGATAATATTTCATATCTAATTTAGCAAATGAGGCCAAAACAATAAAAAAAGATCTATCCACACACTCCTATTTTCACCAGCCTTCGAGCTATAGGCAGTCCAGCTAAGTGGCTTTCAAATTCCAAATCCTGCTTGTGCTTGATGCTGTCTTTATTCTATCCAACGTGTTTTCCTTCTCTTCTCAAGCAAATTTTGTTAATTGACCATATTGTGTTTATTTCATTATCCAGTTATAAAATTATGGCTTTGAATAAAAAACCACAAGATTAAACCAAAATAGAAACTATTTGCAAGAATATGTGCCAAAATATCAAGTTCAAATAGTATAAAAAAAACAAATTAAAAAGAAATAAAATGGACCATATTTAATAAGAATATCCTATAATAAGTATGCAGTCCATTTCATATTTCAATATATACATATATACATATAGCAGTATAAAATAAAGGAGCAGAAACACCGAAATCATCCCAGAAGTTAAACTATAGTAATCAGTTTGCTTTTATACCTGTAGAAGATGTTGTTCCATCTCAAAGAAACGAGAAATGTTGCCAACGTATGATTTTCTGAAGATAGAATAAATAATCATAGTTTTAATAAAATCAACGAGATGAAGAAAACTACATGTAATTTTAGCATAAAGCTGCGCAAGATGACTGTGTTCATTTAGGTAACTGCCTCTAGGTAAAACCAGATTATTTAGGATTTCTACCTAGCAACCAAGTGCATAAGCATATCTTCAAGGCTTCCCAATCTCTTATGGTACTGAAGTGCAATCTAAATTGTATAAATGAAAATTATTATTATTTTGAGAGGAGAAAAACACAGGTGAAGAGAGAGGGAAACTAATATATATACTCAACAATAACACTTCAGCATTAAAAAAAATTTAAAATGAATCAAACAACAACAACAACAAGCTTTTATCCCACTAAGTGGGGTCAGCTCCATGAATTCTTTTTCTCCATTGCGTCCTATTGAGTGTCATATTTTCATTTAGTTCGATTAGATAAAGATCATTTTTATACAATATACCCAAGTCTTTTTAGGTCTACCTTTGTCTTTCTTAACATAAGTTGAATCTAAAACATCTAGTCTCCTAACCGGATCATCAGATGGTCGACGTTTAATGTGAACAAACCATCAAAGATGACTCTCTTTAATCTTGTCTGCCACTAGAATTACACCAACCCTTTCACGGATAGATTCATTTCGCATTTTGTCTCTAAATGTCAACCCAGTCATCCACCTAGGCATTGTATCTCAACAACACTTAACTTTGTTTTCTGCTTCTCTTTTAAAAGCTAAAATTATATATCATAAAGGATTGTAGGTCTCACCATCATCTTGTAACATTTTCCTCTAAATCTAAGTGGTACTTTTCTACCACACAATAGACTCAATGCATTCCTCCACTTCAACCAACCAACTTGACAATAGACTCAATGCATTCCTCCACTTCAATCAACCAACTTGAATTCTACTAACAGCATCTCCAGCTATATCACCATCACTTTGAACAAATAAACAGAAGATATTTAAAACGTTCACACCTTTTAATGATTTGATCACCCATAGTTGCAAATCCGTCACTAGAGCTACCACTACTAAAATTATTTTCCACATATTTAGTTTTAAATCTACTCAAACAAAAGTCTTTAGACTTCAATGTTGACCTCCATAATGCATTTTTTTTCCTGAACTCTCTCTAGTCTTATCCATAAGAAAAATATCATCAGCGAAAAACATGCGCCAAGGTACATCCTCCTATAACATAACTAAAACAAAAAGATATGGGCTTAAAGCCAATCTTTAATGTAATTCGACTGAAGTCGAAAAATATTTAGTCAAAAACCCTACTATTCGAACACAACAGCTCTGGTATACATATTTTTAATGAGTCGAATAAAAGTCATATCAATAAATTTCTTCTCAGAAACTTTCCAAATGACTTCTCTTGAAAACTTATCGTAATCTTTTTTCTAAATCAATAAAAATCATATGTAGATTCTCCTTAGTTTCTATGTACTTCTCCATCAAACCTCTCGATAAACGTATAGCTTTCATGGTAAACTTGTCTGACATAAATCCAAATTGATTATGAGAAATTTTTGTATAACTTTCATGACAATGTTTCATTGTATTATTTATCTTGCAGTTTTTCATCTTAAAATTCAAAACTACTAATAGATGTTGAATACTTAAATTTTCACTTGGAATAACCTTACAATGTTTAAATTCTCGACGATCATTTTTTTCTCGTAAAAAGATAATCAATTTGTGTTTTAATAGATCAATTCTTTTAAGTACTAATATGTTTCTCATTTCTTAATAAAGCAGTAACAATAACAAAATTATAGATAAAGCAAAATCTAATATGATTATACGTTTTTCATTAATAACTCCAAAACCGTAGCCACCATGAATATTTCTAAAATCTTCTATCACTTTACCAACATGCCCAACCAAATCTCCAATAATAATTATTTCTTCAAGAGGTATCATTTGTAATAATTTTTCTAGGTCATTCCAGAGTTTTTTTTTGAACTTATATCAAAACCTACCAACAAAAATAATCTTTAGGATTATAATTATATTTTTAATTCTATTAATTTTTACAACATTATCTTTCAAACTCTTATTCATAATTACATATATACCATCTCTATTATGACTCATACCTAAATACCAAAGTTTACAACTTAAGTGATCAATATTTTTAGTTTTTTTGTCCAACCCATTTAATTTCTTGAATGCATAAGATATTTATTTTCTATAAATCATAATACATATTAATTCAATTAATTTACCTGTTAGAGTGTCTAAATTCTAAGATTTTATCATAATATTAATTTCATGGACTAACTTATTTGCTCGCATATGTCCTTAATGTAGGAAACCATAGCTTATTCAATACTACACTCGCATGTTGGTGTAACGGTCCTTAAACACTTTTCACTGTATTCAGGTTATACAATACGTCGCCTCCAATGAACGCCCTAGCATTTACACAATGATTTAAAGAATTCATTTCATAATTTTTCAATAAAAATTTTATATTGGTTGTCAATTGCCCAATGCAACCCCCACTTTTCGCATCTGAGGCTTGGGTCTTGACAATGGTCGTATGAAGCAATTAGAGCAATTTTATCTGGTTTGACTAGTATTTATTGTTCATTTTAGAATAATCAAATACCTAAATCAATTTTTAGGCCTTTGAAAATTTTAATATGCCACCAAAAGTGCATATTAAATTTTTTTAAGGCTTACAACCGGAGATGTTTAAATATTATGTACTACGCATAAATTTTTTAAACCAATATTTTCCATTCAATCCTATTGAGTACACAACTATCACAATTTTATCCAAAGCTTCATAATTTATCTATTCAATCAGTTGAATTTGAGTGAGCCTAACACGACTTGAAGTTGAAATTTTGGGTGATTATGATATCAAGCAAGAAAGCATGACTTTAGCAAACCAAATATAAATTTGTATATATGCAAGTACATAATTAAAAAATAGGCACTTATGCATAAATGTATGAAAATAGTACATACATTGAAATAATCACATATAATCATGTGTGTGTCTATTATCCAAGCTTCATAATTTAACCATTCAATGTAGGAGGGCCAGACAACAGTATAACAGCAAGGCGAGGGATTTCTCGGTGGCGGCGGCAGTAAAAGGTGGAGGTTGGGAACTACAATAACAGCGAAGAGGAGGGAGGTGAAGGTATTGTCAGCACTTGGAACTACGAAAAACAATAATCAAAAGGTTGTTTAGGGGTGGCCGCAGCAATGGAGGCAGTCAGACAGTGGTAAAAAGCAATATGAAAGATAGGCAGGGTTGCGAAAGCTAAGGTTGAGGGCAAGGACAGTGATGCCAGCAAAGCGAAAGGTCGAGAACGGCAGCGACAGTGAAGGGAGGAAATACGAAGTATGGAAAAGTTGGAGATAAATACCCCCACGGGGACAAGCTACATCTAGAGCACCACTTGATCCCTTGAAAAGAGATCACTATCTCAGACGAGTTACAGTCAAAACATCACCCGCCATTGGATACAATCCTATAATGAAGAAAGAAGATATTGACGACTGCCTAGACAAAAAACATATGCCAAAACTGAAAACCTAAAAATGAAAAGCAAAAATATAAGCCTAGGGTAAATAAGAGTGGGGCTCTTCACACAAGGAGATGGTAAATCCGCGTAAGAAAAGCCGGTCGGCCCTCAGTTTATTGTTCTAAACCAACCCGATGTGCCAGAAGAGTGTTGCATCGATCCAATGCAGAAGTCGGTCGTGGGATTGTAGCAAGGATCGCAGCAAGGGCCCGCTTCACAAGCAGCTCCCCGTCGCGGGAATGATGGGAAGACGGGGACCACACATTTTGGTACCATAATCTTACGCATTTTTAGTTCCACATAGAGACATGCAAGAAGGTACGGGTATAACATGTTAGGAGAACAATATAACATGATAGAATAATAATATATCATGCTGTGAAATAAAATGTTGTAATGTAAATCAAACTTATATATTTGGGAGATCTGCTGCTCCTTTAAGCTAGCTATTATTCACTGTATAAACAAAAAAAAAAACATTGCCTGGAAAACTCGAGAAAATCAACGAATAATCCACGACGAAAAACTCGAGAAAATTGACGAGTAACAATTCAAATAAAACTATCAAAACCTCGGGAAAATCCCGAAGAAAAGACCATCAGTGTTTTGTCCAAAATTTCTGATAAAACATACGAAAAATCCGAAAAGAGGGAACCGCAAGCACTCGGATCGGGGTTAGGCTCAAATATATATATTTGTACTCGAGGGACGTCGAGTACTACTATCGGTCACCCGGATGTATAAAGCCTGTCACTCCACTAGAAGAATGTCTTATTAAACCTAACTTAGGAGGGTACTTCTTAGCCCAGTATCGGTAATCAACAAGTGGACAACCAAATTGTAACACATTTAAAATTTATATTTTAGCATGCACATATATTTCAAGCATACAAAAGAAAAATTATACTAATTTTGTAGTGAAAATATTTTTTTATAAATATTGTATCTGTTCTTATCAATTCGTTTTATTAATTTCAAAAAAGTATAGTTGTCCACAAATCGATCACGTCGTCGGGCATAGGACCGCCAACAACCTAAGAAGGTACGGGTCCCCCGCTAGTCTTGTGTTGGTGAATGATACTTTCATCCTACAGTTCATCAAGTCCCAGGATTGAGTTTTGGTGTTATAGGATAAGATATCATTCTGTTCTACCACCGGCGTGTCATTGTCATCATCGCCCTAAGCCCCAAAACAAAACTAACCTACTTGCGACCTTGCTTGATGGTTTCATATAGAACAAAAGACTATATATGAGCATTTATGTATCAGATATAAGCACAGAAAACTGAACCAAGAAGCAAGGAAAAAAGAATAAAAATGGGGATGAGAGAGAGGAAGAATTGATTCATCCAAAAGATCGAAAAAATAAAGAGTGGAGCAACCCTCAAAAAGATCTGAAAAGGAGAGCCCAAGATCCTTGAATCAATCCAGAGGATAT